AAATTCCAGCCCTTTTTGAGAATAAGGAAAGCAAGGAAAATTAATAGAAGTAGAGAAAGATATCCATGACATAATACTACATGAGACATGTAAAAAGTAAAAGGTAATGCTTTCACATGCACCTAGATGGATTATGCTGAAATTGACTCAGTTGAATTTACTCATCGTGTGCTTGCTGAGAGCACTGTTAAGATTATTTCTGATGCGTACAGCATAATTTTATGTCATCCAACCTAACCAACATCCCTCATTAGATAGAACTTATCTTAGAGCAGGACAACAAACCCATAGGTTGTGTTAAAACAAATGTGTTTTCATTCACAAAAGATTGGGTGTTTTTAACTGGCTAAGTTAAATCACCGTCTGGAATCCATTAGAGCATATGTTTTACATACAGGGCAGAAGATTGCAATGTCCCAAAAACTGAATACAGGTGCAGAATAGGCCAGACAGAACTCTGTCAGGAAAAACACACTGTAGCAGACGAGGTCTGTGTGTCATAGATTTCAAATAAGCAATGAATAGAAATGATTTGCATCCAAGTGCTGAATGATGACAGGTTTATAGCATGTGGTCACTGTCCACATACTAATGGAATGCTCAGCAACACAATGCTCAGGAAGTAGACGAAAACTAGATGCATTTATTGCAAGAGATACAGGTGAAACCCAGAAAGAGTAAATAAAGGGGGAATGGAAGAGGGGAAGACTGGGATATGAAAATGGAGATGCTAAAAATGTGGATTCACAGAGTAAAGACTTTGGTTAGGTCTCAGATATATTTTTGCAGAAGGGCATGTACTCATGGATCTTTGATTTCTTCAACTGCTGCTGGAATTGTGCAATGGCTTTTTAATTTGGTTCAGTTATTTATTGAGCATTTCATAGTATTATGAATTGGAGTTCTTCACCTGAAAGTTACCCTAGGAGCTGTCTAATTGACAGCTACTACAGGCATTCTGACAGACCAATGTATTTACTTCCATTTCTCAAACCTGCAATGTTTACATTTGACAGACAGCAAGGACACCAAAATCACTACTTTAAAATGTAGTTAGATTTGTGCTTTGAGTCCTTTTAACATAATGTTGTACACTGCACCCAAGACATTATTATTATTATTATTATTATTTTATTATTTATATAGCGCCAACAAATTCCGCAGCGCTTTACAGTGGGTGGACGAACAGACATGTAGTTGTAACCAGACAAGTTGGACACACAGGAACAGAGGGGTGGAGGGCCCTCCTCAATGAGCTTACATGCTAGAGGGAGTGGGGTAAAATGACACAAAAAGGTAAGGATAGTATTAAACTAATGACAGTTGCAGAAGAGGAATCAGTCAAAGGCTATTAACAGTTTAATTGATACGCTTTTATGAAGAAGTGGGTTTTTAATGATTTTTTGAAGGAGTGGAGACTGGGTGAGCATCTAACGGAGGAGGGAAATATTGTGATCCTTGCTCAGATCCTAACACTAGGTACGATAAATGTTATAATGGCAATGGCTCTATAGCATGTTACATAAAATTGTTTTGTCTCAGTGTTTATGTATACATGTATTTTTCTTAATAACAGATACAATTTCAAATGTCACTGAAAAATATAAATGATTTCTTTCATTTTCATTTATTTTCCAATTTTTAAATACTTAAAATAGCAGCAATATTTCTACCTTTGAATTTTTTTAATATACAGTTGTAAAATGGATTTGTGCACAGAGCATGAAAAGATCATTATGAGTTTGTATTAAATTGCAGAATAAATGATTTAAAGCTTTCTTGAACCTAAAGTGCTGTGCTCCTTAAACTACTCCTCAAATACCACCTCTGGTTCAGATATTACTGTAATAGCACGATATTAGTATAACCTGAATTGTACTACTAGGGGACACAGGCAGGACACCAAAAACAAAATCTATGTATTTTACCTAGATTGAGAGTTGCACTAAAGATTTAAGGCCAGCATTTCCCATTAATGGTATTCCATTACCTTATACCATGTTTAGCACATAATTTTATTTGTTTAAAAGGACACTATAGTCCCCAGCACAACTACAGCTTAATGTAGTTGTTCTGGTGAGTATAGTCAGTCCTCTTTTTGCTGTAAACACTGTCTTTTTAGAGAAAAGGAAGTGTTTACATTGCTTCCTAGGGTCACCTCCAGTGGCCACTCCTCAGATGGTCACTGGAGGTACTTCCTGGGGAAGTGCTGCACAGTGTGTAGAACTGACATTCATCGTCTCCACGCTCTGCATGAAGACTTGGAACTTTCCCCAGAGGGGTGGATCTGCGCGGCACTGGAAATATGGTAAGTTTATTAGCTTATAAAGAGGGCAAGGGGGTGCAAGCCACGTAAATGGTGGTTTTAACATCATAGGGTCGTTAATACATTTATATATATATATATATATATGTGAAACTGCAGTAAGCACCGCTATTGGATCAGTGATCGCTGGCAGTAAGAGGATAGCAGGACCAGTTCTCAATTTTTTGATGGTAACTACATTACGTCTGAAATAGTATTGTATGTATATATATATATATATATATATATATATATAATATAATATAAATTAAACTTGGCACTCACTGCTTTTAACTTATATCCAGTAACCGTGCCTCGGTGCCAACCCGTGTCTGTATATAATCCAAGAGAAAGGGTGCACTCTTTAGTCTTTGGATTATATATATATATATATATAGCAGTCCAGACTCTGGCACTCAACCTCAAAAGAGCAAAAAAATAGTAATGTTACCAGGGTGCCTCCAGGCCAGTAGATATAAAGGTGAAAACAGGAGCACTCACTTGGATTTTTCAAACGTGTATTTGGCAATCTTAACACAAATCTACATCAACGTTTCGACCCTTCAGGGTCTTTATCAAGATGATAAAGACCCTGAAGGGTCGAAACGTTGATGTATTTTATATAAGTATTTTATATATATATATAAAATACTTTTTCAGGCATAATGTAATTACCATAACAAAATTGAAAACTGGTCCTGCTATCCTCTTACTGTCAGTGATGCACTCTTACCAGTAAATGGACATGTAGTCGCAATTTGGTTAGCTCAATAACATTGTATTCTTTACTGGAAACAGATTTTGTAATTCTCACATTAAAGGTGACAGATCCAGATTCAATGCATGTCCAATCTCCATCTTCAGGCATGAACAATATCATTCTGTAGGATGTGTGTCAATCAATGCTTTCTAATATAATGTATAGACACATACATATACACACACTATATATGTTTTTTACTCACTGAGTAATAATTGAATTTCCCTGTAAAACTCTTCAGTGCCATTCTAATGTATTTCACTGTTCTTTTGAATGCTTTCTTTCCATTATAATTTCAGGACTCAAAATGCATTTAAATTTTATTTTACGTGATTATTTAAACAAGGCTTTTGCATTTGGAACTAAAGGTCATTTTATTTTTTGGAATTGTTTTCTGTAACAGTTATTATCCCTCTTAAGTACTTTAGTTATTTAGACAAACGTAAAAAAGCATAAAATAGACTATTCATCGTTGCAAAGCTGTATCCAGATCGCAAGCTGTGCAATGTATCATAATCAGAAGAACATTTGGCTCTGTGATTAGCATCTTGATTTCTAGTCTCATTGGCTGACTATACTGGCAGCTATAAAACTGTCCTCGGGATAATCTAGGTCAGGCTTCTCTAATCCTTAATGGGTATTTCTTTCTGTTAAACTTCAGTGCATATTTTGTGGACTTATATGACTTTTCATTTATCTCTACAGACACTTTGAGAACAATTATGTATGCAATATCCCCAAACAAAGACAAATTCATATTCTATATTGCTTTTTCTAACAACAACAGCAATAATTATAATGTATGAATATACAAATCTGATGAAAGAAAGGCTCCGCTTTAATACATAGTTGAAGCACTATTAAATGGCCTACTTTTTGCTGCTTTGCAGTATTTTGGACTAAAACTGCTGCGCTGCTTTTCTAGTCTTGGAGTAGGGCACAGGGGTAATGGGGCAGACACACAGATGATTTTGCAAGAAAGGTAGGAATGAGAAGGGACAGTGCCCTCTACAATATTTTAAAGTACGTCATGGTATTTTCATGTTTAGTTTGGTGTATTTTCGTCCTTATGCTTACATGCAAGTAAAGTAAAGAAAAATACTAACTCATTACCTATACAATTTGAAAGGCCATTTTCTCTCTGTAAGGGACACAATATGCACCAAGACCACTTCATCTCATTGAAGTGTTCTGGGTGCAGTGTCCCTGTTTCCTTAACCGAGCAATGTAAAACATTGCCGTTTTTCAGAAACTGCAATGTTTACACTGCCGTTTTAAGACAGCCAGACAGCCAATAGAGGTGCTTCCTGCAGTTTCACATTTGACTCCATGAAATGACTCTGGACATCCTGTGCATGAGGATATCCAGTGTCAAGCAAAACAACATAGGAAAGCATTGAGTCAATGTTTCACATGCGGCGTTCGCACATCAGGTTCCCCCATTGTCTGACCTTGGCAGAGGGAGAGCACAACCCAGCGCCAAGGGACTTTGACTATGGAATTAGAAATGTGAAGGAATGAGTTTTCCAACTATATCATGGGCAGGGGGAACCAGTGGGGATGAGGGACACCATATTGTCAAGAATACATCTTTGTAAATTGTTCCTTTAGGCAGGATACTTTTCTTAGATTCTTACCAATAGAGGAGCCCACCCAAAAGAAAAAGCAAACAACTTTATTGTATACATTCAACACATACATGGTACCTTAAAGAACAACAAAAATGTCTATAAAAATGTACTAAACCTACTAACCAAACCAGGGCAGTCAATCACTATACAAACTTTAATGTCCCATGCAAAAATAAATACTACTAAATTGTAACAGAAAATAACAAAACAAAAAAATGAAACATATACCTAACAACTAATCTAAAGTGTAAAGTATCATGTAATGATCACAATACATACCAAATAAATAGCTGAACTGAAAATAAATGTTTGAAAAAAATCAGAGAAGAGAGAGATATCAAAGGCTTCTTGCTAAAACAATGGGGGTATATATCATTTTTTGTTACCTTTGATATCTCCCTCTTCTCTGATTTTTTCAAACATCTTTTTTAATTCGATTTTTGGTATGTATTGTGTTCATTATATGGCACTTTATGCTTTAGATTGATTGCTACGTCTCTGTTTCATGTTTTTTTAAATTTCTTGCTTCCATTTTTTGTTTTCTTTATTTGTTACATATTGGTAGCATTTATTTTTGAATGGCACATCTGGTATGGTTAGTAAGTTTAGTACATTATTTATATCCATTTTTTATTCTTTTAGGTACTATATATATATATTTGCCACCTTAACGATGCTGGTATTTATCAGGAATATCTTGTAGATGGTGTAAGCGAAAAAGTGGAATAGTGGTTGAAGGAAGATATATCAGGCCTCTTTTGCTAAACAGCAGCCAGAAAATTTTCAGTTAAATGCCCCAGGGAGAGATGTTAAGTTTGCAATATACATTGCTGATACTATGCAAAACACGTTATGGTTCCCTGGGGCGGAGTATTTGGAGAGCAGGGTGGGCCAGTGCTCCAACAGCACTAGTTGCTGTGTAACAGACCAAAACTTGGATTTAACTTGAGAGTTCAAGAGATGTGAGCTAATTAACACTCACCTGTAGCTGGTCAATTAGCAGGCAAGAGTTTAAAAGAAGAGATCAGCCTGCTGCAGAGTGCGGGAGAAAAAGCCAGCTAGGAGAGAGAAAATTGTGCTTATTGGAAATCTATTTTGTTTTCTTCGAAATTGGTAAGTGGGAAAGCCAACCAATTACAGATAGTGATTTCTGTCAAGTAAGAGCAAGGAATTTTGTTTTGTTTATTTTAAAAAAAAAAAGGAAAACTGAACTGGATGTGTCCTGGACTTTGATTACCCTAGAAGGCTGTGGTTACCGTAAGATCTGTGACAAAAACCTACCTGTATTAGAGGTGGTTTGTCACAATGGCAATGAACAAATCATTTTAATAAAAATACATCAATATAAATAAAAAATAAAAATCTGGTTTTGGATGTTCTGGTCTACTAGCTGAGTTCATCCGATACAATTGCTGACGATAAGATCACATGACTTTGGTAAAAACTGTGGAAGCAAACTAGGAATCTACAAGAATGAAAAACATAATGAAAGATTCAAGCATTAGCATTATAACATGATTAAAGATTTAATTTATCATTGAATCCATTGTTATATTCATCCATATACACTGAAATATATTAAATAGGTAACAAAATAAAGTCAGTCAGTTACTAGAACAGATCTTACAAGAGTTGTATCACATAATGCCACATGATCTTATTGACTTTTTCATTCGTAAGTGAAGTTATTAAGTATAATAAATCAAATATTCAATGGCAGTATACTGTGTACATGGTATTCATTGAACTTATGGCTAGCAGAGTCTATGTGCCAGAATTAATGACCTGATCAAATAAGATACTTTTTCTATCAATAGTTATCCTGTGGTCAAGGGTTCATGAGCCTAATGTCACTAAAACAAGGGTCTAGTTTCTATGCTTGTTGAAATCATTTATTGAAAAGTTGATAATGGTTAAAATGGCAGTGCATATTATTAGTGTTTACCAGCTGTTTCCATACTACAAAACATTGTGTTTGATGACATTATATGGAGACGATAAATGCTGAAATTCTGAGTGGTATCTTAAATCCATGTGTGCTATCTAGTCAGTGAAAATCAAACATATATTATAGCACAGCATTCATAAGAGGAACCACTAATCTCATCTGTTTTTCTTTTCTTCCTGCAGGTGTACTGTGGTATTTCGTAGCTGATTATTAGATCAATGGCGACATAGGTGGTGTATGGAATGTCTATTTAGAGCTGTATTTACTTGAAATCTAAAATCAATAGATAATGAACATCTTTTGATTGATCCCTACAGTAACAATGATGACTGTGTTGAGATTTGTAGCATTAGTTGACACAGAAAGAGACCCAGTGCCTTTTAAAAATGTTGAGTCTATGCCCATCTAATCTGGCAAATCAAAATCATTCATATTATAAATAGTGCAGAGAGACTAATTTAAATTATTTTGGAGCAATTGTTATTATGTTAGTAATATTATTTTTATCATGCCAGACTGGGAAAAAAATTCAGCTCGGGTATTTTTTAATCACAGCAGTCCAGTGGCAACGAGGCTGGGTCAGAGGGGAGGTTTGTGTTATCACCACTGACAACCATGCACTGTGAGTGCATGTTGCCTAGGGTCTATGTTGTGTATGTGTGGGGGTAATAAGGGAGCAAATGTAATGAGCTGTGTCTGAGCGTCAGGGCTGGTGCAAGGATTTTGGGGTACATAGACGAAGATGCATTTTTCCGCCCTCCTCACCCCCTCCTCTAAAAATAACATCTTCACCTATGTGCCTCTTAACCAGCCCCTCTCTTCTCCCCATCCATTAGTGGTCCCCTCCCTTCCCTGTCCCTTAGTGTTCCTCTCCCCTTCCCCCTCCTTTCCCTTTCCCTTGGTGTTTCTCTCCCCTCACCTCCCCGTCCATTAGTGGTCACAATACCCTTCCTGGTGTGCCTCTTACCTCTCTTGTAGCGTTGTGGAGCAGATCCTCTACAGGAGCTTCAGTTTTCTGTACCCGGCTGGACTGACATGAAGTGCTCTCTCGTGTACCACGCTCCACTCTGCCACGCTACACTCAGTGGTGTATACACACTTACAGTCACACACACTCAATGACAAACACACAGATGTCACTGACAGACACAGACTCACTGATCTGACACACACTCATTCATTGACACAGACACACACACACTGACAGACACACACTGATTAACAGACACAGACTCAATGACAAACATAATCTCTCTGATTTGTCAGACACTCACAAACACACACTGACAGACACACACTCACACTGACAAACACACTCATGCACTGACAGACACACTCATACACACACATTCATACACTCATAGACACTCACTCACAGACACACACTCACACATACACTTACAGACACACACACTCACAGACACACACATACACTTACAGACACACACACTCACAGACAAACACATACACTCACACATACACCACTCACAGACAAACACATACACACACACACACACACTCACACATACACTTACAGACACAGTCACACACACTCACAGACAAACACATACACACACACACACACACACATACACTTACAGACACACACACACTCACTTACAAACACATACACACACTCACACATACACTTACAGACATACAAATTATTAATAATGTCCACCCAGCCTCCCTACCTGGAGAGCTGGAGTGGATCTGTCCGAGGGGTCCAGTGGGGCTTCACTGCGGCGGGCGGCAGAGTTCCTGTCAGACGCGGCGAGGGAGCTCTAACCTCTCTGCTCTGCTCCCTAGCAGGCTGTCTACTGATTCCGGGAGCCGGAATATGATGTCATATTCTGCGGCATCAGCGGAGGAGCAGAGCAGAGAGGTTAGAGCTCCCTTGCCATGCATGATTAGAACACAGGCGCACTGGGGGTTCAGTAGGTGGCCTGGCTGGCAGGAGGGAGCGCTTCCCTCCTGCCGGTCACTGAAATCTTGCGCCACCAGAGCCGGTGCGCCCTAAGTCTGCCGCCTATGCCACCTTATGGACGCGCCGGCCCTGCTGAGCGTTGCCATAGTAACATTCTGAAAATAGTTGCTCGGGAGGAACTTACAGCCTCCTGGGTCCTTCTTCCCTCACCTGCAGCAAAGTGCCTTTGGGCGGTTTAATCTTTACATCGGCCCGAGGAGGCAGACAGGCTCTGCATTGGCCAGCAGGGTTGATGAAAGGATCTCTACTGTGGCTCATGGCCATCGTGGCCCACTGGGCATTAGTCGGGTTTGCCTGATGGCCAGTATGAGCCTGATTATCATTATCATGCTAAGTGAATTTATAGAGAGAGTGTGTATAAAGCATTTGTTAGTAAAATGGCTTTTGTCACCCAATATGAAATCCAAATTTTTTGAAGTATAAATATATATTAAATATTTTTATGGCATGATGTTTTATTCCTATACATTTTCTGCAGAAATTTGTAAGATGTTACAACTAACAAAAAATAATCATAACTTTTCTCTTCTAATTATAGGGTTGCTAACTTTTATTGAAAAATAGAAGTATAGAACCCCAATTTTAGCTTTTCTCTAATCAGAGCAGATTTGTATTTGTTAAAAGCAAACAAGTGTATTCTTAAAAAAATCTAACATAATGACACCCATGATGTTGCTTATGTAAACTGCACTATTTGTCATTTGTATAGCTGCTTTTTCAAGATTTAATTTTTTTGTTTCCAAACTAAATTTATTTCCTAAAAGTGCATTATTTGAAATATGTATATATATATATATATATATATATATATATATATATATATATATATATATCTCACTTTTTAAATTAAATCATTAAAATTAATTTTTAGATACAGTGAGTGCAAAAGTCTAATATGTATGTACACATACATATACACACAACAAATTACCATATAACAACACTTGAGGTTCACCTATAGATGGCGCTATTGGGTATAATAAATTAAGTACCTTGGCTTCCCATAAATAATGCACATTAATAGTTTGTGCTATGTGCTTAGATAGTAATTATGCAAAAAAGGCACTTTTCCTGTAAAACGGGAGGTTTTCAGTAAATGACCGCACCCTTGCATTCTTGAGATTATATAATAGAATTTCTCAGAACAACGCCCACCTTGGTTTCTGCTTATTTCTCATTCTCCTTTCCCCCTATCATGTACATTTCTTTACTATTCCCCTACGGTGTCTTCTCATCCCCTTTATATTGCAATCTTTTCAAAATACTATGTTGAGGACTGATTCCACGCTTGACAACATGCATTGTGCCTCAAATGTTAACCATTCCCCAGAGGTACTGTTTATGATAATGGGAATTCCAAAAAGCATTAGATAGATTAATTTAAATTTCAAAACCAATTAAATTTTACATCATAATTGTGTAATAATGTCAAATGTAAATTATTGTAATTATCTGACATTGTATATCTATCTTTTATGGTTTGCAAGGTTCAACTACTATAGACCTACTCATGGTTGAATTAAAGGGACACTATAGGCACCCAGACCACTTCAGCTCATTGAAGTGTGTAATCTAAGGTGCATAATCTAAGTCCCTTAGCCCTGCAAAGGTATTTATTGCACTTTTTAATAAATGGCAATAATTATCTTTGAGGGTTAACTCTTCCTCTAGCGGCGGTCTACCAGACAGCCACTAGAGACTTCTGTGCCATTAGGAGACTTTTGGTCACCTAATTGATGCTCGAGTTCCTTACACTATGCTGAGGACATCCAGCGTTATGTACAATGCATAAGAAACTTTGCTTTCCTGGCAGTTGGTTGGAACACCATCTCTAGGCCTACACTAGTGACTAACATGTTCATCTTTGCAATCTGCAATCAGAGCACTTTTAGGAATGAAACTGAGATGGGCATGCTGCTTGAGACTGCCGGGAGCAGTGGGATACTATTATAACTATTACACATTACAACTACATGTACCTTCCATTTTAAGGCATCCCCTGCAATAGTCTAAAGCTGTCATCAGGCCCGGACTGGCCATTGGGCAGACCGGGCAAAAGCCCAGTGGGCCACGATGGCCATGGGCCAAGGCCGGCTGGGGAGATCACAGGATCTCTGACGGCGAGGCTTTACATCCCGGAGGCTGGACGGCATATTTTTTATGTGCGTGGTCCTCTGCCACCCTGGACCTCCCCGCCGGATGACCTCCCCTCCCTCCCACCTACACACATACACATGTAAGCAGCATGAAGAACCAATCCAAGTAATTTTGGGTTGCTGCGGGATGGAGGTCGGGTAAAGTCTGCGGAGGTCCGAGGCTACACTTCCGCCAACCATTACAGGAAACCTGGACACCTCCGGCAACCAACGTTGTCCACCAATTACATTTAAGGGACAAAAAGAGTGCCAAACATTGGCTATAACACACTATATCCGCACATGAACACTGATGAGGACAGTTAAAGAGACTTTCAAGCCAGGTCATTGGATAATTACCAATCAATGTGACCTAAGAGGAAAGACTGCAGGGGATTTAAAAATGGAAGATTCTGAGGACCACATCTACAGCTGAATGAGGAAGCTCTTTAAGAGTGAAACTACTCTTTAGGACTTTTTTATTACTACAAGTATTATTTTATATGTTTATGGTAACATTGTAATAAATACCTTTATGTTACCAAAGTTATTTTATCAAAGTCCTTCTGGAGCCTCCAGGAATCTTCATAGGGGTAGTGCCATCCCCACCAAATTGGTACAGTACCTACACACCTCAGAGCCGGGATTGCTAGGCTCAGAATAAGGTGAACACCCTATTTTATTAAAACCCTCACCCCGGCTTTAACAGGCTATACATTGGCTCGTCTCTTTTATGTTTCCTTTTTGAGATTCACTTTACAACGTATTGGAGATGTGGTGCTGCCCAAAAAGTATACCAGCTTGATTACGGAGCCAGTACTCACACACAGGCTCCATAAATTTTTAAAATCAAGTTATGTGGGGTATATATCATATTTGTTTAGCGCTCCACTTATAGGTGTAGGCTCTCACTTACACCAGTTTATAGATTTTTGACTTTTATGTGGATAAGAGGATATTACCATATCAGTGTATAGAGCTGATCTATTTATTCACTTTTAGCACTTTTATTGTTACACACACTCCTCCGCATAGGAGGTGTATTTTGGCTTGCATAGATCGCAGGATCTCCCCGGCCGGTCCATGCAGAGCTGGCACTATCCGAGCACCGACCCTGCTGTGTGCATTCATGGGCTGGTGTGATGATCAAAGATCTCCCTCACTGGCCCACTAGCCCTAACAAGTGGCCGCCGGCTGGGGAGGGAGAGGAGAGGAGGACACGGGGGAGCTCTAGCAAGCAGCTTTGCCGGGTTCCTCTCGTGAGGTCGGAGCGTTGCCGCGGTTACCATGGCAATGTTCCGATCTAACGACAGTGATCTCACCACTATGACCACCAGGGATTCACCTCCACTACGTCCATCAGGGATTCAAGGGATTCACCTCTATGTCCCCCCTCCCAGGCAAAGGTAAGAAGTGGGTATAGATTTATTTTTTAAATAAGAAACAAACATATTTAT